ACAGCCAAGAGGCATCAACGACGTTGGAATAAACCCTCCCTCCAAACTGCCTCTTCACAGGCCCCTACAACGGTTCAGTTAGTTCCACTGAGGGAACTGCCTCGTTGGAAGACAACCGTTTGACGACCCTGCAGCATGCCGAAACATTGTTCTCGGGATTCCAACGCTACGGATCAACCTGACTGTTGCGTGTTGACGATCCAGGATCGTGCCAGAACGCCTTTCCTGGGACTTCAACACAGCGAGTCAACGTAACTGATGCGCCCGCGTAATCCTAAACCCTTTCAAAACACCATGTCTACTACGTTGATGCTGTGAACCCGTGAAACCCTTGTAATTTTTCAAAGCGAAGGTGCGCCGCGCTAAGGCGAGAGCCACATTTCGAAAACGGCCCGCCCTCAATCAGTGAAATTCTTGCAAATGTTTAAACAAATGTGCACCGCGCTGAGGCGAGAGCCACATGTTGAAAACCACCCGCCCTCCATCGGTGAAACTCTTGTAGATGTTTAAAGCGAAAGTGCGCCGCGTTAAGGCAAGAGCCACCTTTTGAAAACGACCCGCCCTCAATCACTGACATTATTGTAAATGTTCAAACGTATGTGCGCCGTGCTAAGGCGAGAGCCAAACTTTGAAAACCACCCGCCCTCCATCGGTGAAAACGTTGCCAATTTTTAAGCTTCAGAATCATGCGTGGTGAGGAGGTCTCAGGCGAGACGCCCGGCCCGCCCTAAAAACTTGCCTCGGGGCGCGACATGGAGAAATTATGTGTAAGGAGAAGGAATGGATGATGATGATGATGATGATGATGATGATGATGATGATGATGATGATGATGATGATGATGATGAGGAGGAGGAGGAGGAGGAGGAGGAGGAGGAGGAGGAGGAGGAGGAGGAGGGGACGGGGAGGAGGAGGAGGAGGAGAAAGGAGGAGAGGAGGAGGGAGGAGGGAGGAGGAGAGGAGGAGGGAGGAGGGAGGAGGGAGGAGAGGAGGAGTGAGGAGGAGGAGGGAGGAGGAAGGAGGGAGGAGGGAGGAGGGAGGAGGAGGAGGAGGGAGGAGGGAGGAGGGAGGAGGAGGGAGGAGGGAGGAGGGAGGAGGAGGGAGGAGGAGGAGGAGGAGGAGGAAGAGGAGGAGGAGGAGGAGGAGGATTGGATTGACCCAGATGGAAGAGCGCGCCGAGTTCGGGTGACGGACCCATGAGAACATCAGGAGAAAGGAGAACACCACAGCTCCATACCGCGACAGAGACCGAGAGCCCACGAGCTTGCGACCCAGAGCACCTCCGACGAGGGACTCATCACGGCCAGCACTGGACTGAGGACCCGAGCGAAACGCTCGAGCAAGCAAGGGAACGCAGATACTTGGATGGGACCGAGCACACTAGCGGCGTCGTCCGAATACCGAAACGGAAGCGGGGTTCGGATGGACAGACGGGGCACTTTCGGGCGCAGGAACATATCAAACATACGGTCACGCTTATATCGGCGTGACGGGTTTTTCTCCACCAGGTCGGGCTGGCACTGCTGGAAAAGCTGGGAGGTCCCCCTCCCACAAAAGTGGAGCCACAGCGACGACGCGCCACGAGAGGACCCGAGATGAAGAGCTCATGGCCACGGGCACGAGACATCGGGAAAAGGTCGCCGACTCCGGGGAACGGCTCCAGGCCGTCCTCGGGCGGGGAGGGTGCACCGCAGCCTCAACAGAACGACCCGCGCTCGGCGACCACCCCCTCGGCCTCTTCGCCTAAGACTCCTCCAGAGCGGGGTCACGAGCACGGATGAGAGACGAGAGAAACCGATCGGGATCGGGCCGCTCGTCAGCCTCGAAGCGCGCCCGCCTCCGAACGGTCCGCAGCTCCGGCTCCTCCGAGGGAGCGCGCTCCCGAACACGCGCATGAGACGGCGGTTCCGCGGAGACCGCGCGCTCGGCGAGGGGCGCGGGCCAATCTCCAATCATGTCCTCAGCGGGCTTCCCGGGGTCATGATCTTTCGCCTCCGCAGCAGCAGGGGCAACAGCAGCGCCCCCCCAAGCAGCAGGCGCAGGAGCAGCCACCCCTCCCACGTCCAGGCGAGGGCGGACCTGGCGAGATGGGGCGTCCTCGCCCTCGCGCCACCTGGTCCTGCCCCTCCTCGCCTCGGAGCTCCCGCCCCCGCTCCCCGCCCCAGCGGCGGCGGCGGCGGCGTCGCGGGCCTGCAACACCGGGCAAACCCGTTGCTTCATGCAACGCGCGCTTGCCAGAGAGCGAGCGAGAGCGGTGCAGACGGAGCACCTCCAGCTGCCTCGGACGCGCGCAGGGCGGCGGCAGAGGGCAAAAGGAGGAGGGGGGGGGGAGGGCCGGCCTCGAAGCCTCGGGGTCTTGCCGTGCTCCTTGCGGGCAGGCGTGGCCGTGCGATCCGAGGACAGGGCACCCGTAGCCTGGGCCTCGCGGGTCTGGGCCATCCAGCACGCAACCTGCCGCAGGAGTACAAGCGCGCCTCGTGCCTCGCAACGACGTCGGAGGAGGCAGCATGCCTGGCAAGTCCTCGTTTTGCAGCCTAGTCCGCAAATTCAGTGCCAACCTTATCGAGCGACCACTCCGTTTGAGGAGGAGAAGGAGGAGGAGGAGGAAGAGGAGGAGGGGGAGGAGGAGGAGGAGGGGGAGGGGGAGGAGAGGAGGAGGAGGAGGACTGTAGTGTAGCGCTGATGCCCTTGAGGGTAGGCATAACCCTGTGAAGACGGATGGGGCTCTGGGGCTCACCCACCCTTGATACCGTGTCCCCAGGTACAAGGACCGTGGTAGGCACACGGTATGAGAGGTAGCACACCTTTCATCGGCAACCTCCGTTGTGAAGACCGTGGCTCGTCCTTACTCGGCTTGTGCGCCAGAGCAATTGGAGCGTATCTGCACACGCTGGAGGTGAGTGTGAATGAGGGGTGATGGATTCCACACCTCCTGACTGCATGGACGATGCGGCGGAGCGAGGCCGCCAAGGTAATGAGGCTCAGAGTATACAGCGCTGAGTGCCAGTGCGTGCGCGTGCGGCAGGGTGCAACAAGGGAGTAGGTGGCTGATATAATAAGTGGACAACGTCAACCCACGCCACCATTGTGCTGCGTACCCCAACGGTTTCACGACGCGACGCGACGGCAAGCTGAGAGGCGATGTTTACCTCACCTCCTGCCGGCATGGACGATGCGGCGGAGTGAAGTCGCCAAGGAAATGTGACTCAGAGCAAACAGCGCTGTATGCCAGTGTGTGCGCGTGCGGCAGGGTGCAACAAGGGAGTAGGTGGCTGAGATAATATGTGGCCAACGTATCTTCACGCCACCTCTGAGCTGCGTACCCCAACGGTTACACAACGCGACGCGACGGCAGGCAAGGGGATCGCGCGCCGAAGAATACGATTCGACCCGCGGTCGCATACGCATCTGAGAGACGATGTTTTCCTCACCTCCTGCTGGCATGGACGATGCGGCGGAGAGAACAAGCTGGCCCAGAACGCGTCCTGGGGCCATACCTGCTGAGGCCGGCGCGCCTCCCGTAGGCCCTCTGCCCAAGACTGGGAGGATACGAACTTCGAGAGTTTCGTATCGGGTGCGACCCCCGGAAGGCTCACGGCGAGGGGCATCTCCGACCTTCAAAACCCCTTCGGGTTTCGGGGACGATGAACTAGGCGAGTCATTGGGGACAAGTCGGTTCCCCAGTTGTCCGTTTCCCTGGGCGGTTCCCCAGTTGTCCGTTCCCCTGTGCCCCGCATCATCGCCTCGGCGTGCGATGGGGACAGCATCGATTGACGACAACAATGAGAGAGCATGTTACTAGCGGCGAGCTGTGTAGCAACAGTCCAATCGGAGGGCGAGAGGGGGGGAAATGAGCTACGGCTGAAGCAATGCCGATACCGGCAAAAATTCTTCCAAACACTGGGCAGGACCCCTCTTTGACTTGGGGTGTTGCCGCCGGGAAAATCTCTGCCAAGAGTCCCTGGCGCCGTGTGAAGGAAACCTCAACTTACAATTGGATTTCAAGTTACGGAGGTTCCCTGGCTCCGAGTAAGCACCGCACCGGCTGCAAATGAATACCACCCCAAGTGCATAATTGGAAACATGCAGAATGTGTTTCCGAGGATTTTTGCACCAGCTGGGTGAAAGCTTCGTTGTGGCCTCTGCACGGGCTCACTGTCGGTGCCGGCTTGTTGACTCCTCTGGAAAATGTCAAGCATATGCGGCAGACCCATCTGCTGCGCTTCCAAGCCCAATCGTGCTCTCTGATCGGGCCTGGCGGGCGGCGACCTGGCCGAGGATGAAGGCCAGGAGGGGGAGGTGGGGGCGGAGGGGGGGCTGGGTCTGGCAGCACTTGCCGCGCCGCACCTACCCCTGTGATGAAGCCTTCCTCGCGGAGCGATTTGTCGAACACCGACCGCATGGCTTTAGAAGGGGCTATTTTTGGAAATAGCAACAAAGCCTGCACAGCATAAGGCAAATAACGCCTCAGGGTCTCCGACTCTACCTTCCAGCTGTCCTTCTCAGCCTCTGACGGCTGTGGAAGTGACAGTGCGCCTTTCTTGGCGTACCTGTCAGCCAAATCGTTGCCTACTGCTTTGTACCAGTCAGGCGAAAGCTGTGGGAGCGACGCAGGGTCGACATGCGCGGGCACCTTCTCAATGCGAAAGTCTTCATCCCAAAATGGGGACCCGCGTATCTGGATATTGAGGCCTGCGTAAAAGTGCTGACGCGATGCAACCCTAGACCAAGGTGCTTCCGCCATCTTGACTAGGCCTAGGAAGGAGGAGGAGGAGGAGGAGGAGGAGGAGGAGGAGGAGGAGGAGGAGGAGGGGGAGGGGAGGAGGAGGAGGAGGAGGAGGAGGAGGAGGAGGAGAGGAGGAGGGGAGGAGGAAGGAGGAAGGAGGAGGAGGAGGAGGAGGGGAGGAGGAGGAGGAGGAGGAGGAGGAACGCCCAATCTGGCTGTGTGTTTGCTCACGACGCGAGGGGGCCTGGGCCTTCCCCCAGGAGGCGCATCGCTCCTCGGCGGCCACGGCGCCCATCTCCTCGGCGTCCAAGAGGCAGAACAGCTCCATGAGGTCCTCGTGGCTCGCCTCCGCGGGGCGGGCGCAGCATCGCCCGCCCTTTCCCCGTCTGCTTGCGACTCACTAAAGGAAGACCCAGGACCCTAAACTCGAGTAGGGTATCGGCTGCATAATTGGTTAATCCTGAAATGGATTTGGCCGTCGAATCGACGAACGGATGCGTATAATGCTTCGTAGATTTACGGAGCATGATGCACGTTCCTCCTGGAGTCGACGTGCACAACAATTTTGGGTGTAAGTTAACTTTGTGGTCGATCCCCTACTCGAAGAAAACCTATACGAACTCAAATGCCTCTCGGTGCACCGCGTGATCCTCCTTCTCCCGGCTCGCGCCTGGTGCTCCCCGCCCTCCTCCTCCTCCTCCTGCTCCCTGCTCCTCCCTCCTTCTCCTCCTCCTCCCCCTCCTCCTCCTCCTCCTCCTCCTTCGCCTTCTCCTCCTCCTCCTCCTCCTCCTGTTCCTGCTCCTGCTCCTGCTCCTGCTCCCTACCCCCCGCCTGCTGATGCGCAGTCAGACTGCAATGGAGACCAGACAACAGACACAATCAAACAACCACGCAAGTAACCAGACACAGACCAATCAACACCAAACACAAGAAAAGACGAACAAGAAAGTGGCATCCGGGCCCCTGGGAGACGATACACACAAAGATGGGTGGAAGAGCGTGTGCCACATGTGATGGAGTTTCGTCCCTGAATGTTCGTACGCGCTCCGTTTCGGGCTGTGGACCGACACTAGGCAGGGTTACGCCACCAAATTTTGGGAGCCGCCTAGCTGCAACAAACAGTCTGTATGCAATCACCGGCTTATGGAGGCGACGCATGCTGCTTTATCTATACACATTGCGCGAATGTCCATTTGACGTGAGACGGAACACCGCCGGGCAACCCGGGAACGCCACGCGAGAAGGCAACGCCACCGAGGCGGAGGAGGAAAGAGAGAGGGGGGGGAAACGAAAGAGGAGAGGGAGACGACGCCAGTCCAGCCGCACGTCGGAGGGTGCGCCAAGCTTAGGCACCCCATAGCAAAGAGGGGAAACTGTGGACACTAGAACTGTACGTGAACTGGTGCGACGGCCGAAGGTATCTTACACGCCAGCGGACCACCGGGTGAAATAGAGCAAGGAGGCGGCGTGGGCTTACGACCAGAAGCGGGCTGGCTGCCCGAGCCTGCAATGGCCGACCCAGACCTCGCTGAACCACCCGCAAACTTGTCCCGCGCGAGCAGGAAGGGGGGGAGAGCAGGGACAAGAGAGGAAGAAGGGACAGCGAAGACACCGACGCAGTGCATAAAGAAAACGCACGCCAGATCGATAACGCCAACAGCAATGTGGGTCGTCGCGACCCTCGCCGGACCAGACCGCCGAAAAGCAGCGATCGCTAGAGCCAGCGCGCGGCACCCAGAAGGGCTAGGCTTTTTCTTTGGATTCGACGAGCAAATTATTTTGGATTTCAAGTCAATTTTGTAGACGATCCCCCTACTCGAAGAGGGAACCGCTTTTCGTCCCGAGTTGTCTTCGTGCGGCCCTGGGGGCCCCGCGAGGGCCCCCGGAAGCCGCAAAGGGTACAACAAAACCATCTGCCGTGACTTCGTCGTGGCCCGAGCGGGGGGCGGTCTGGGGAGGAGGAGGAGGACGAGGAGGAGGAGGAGGAGGAGGATCGGCCCACCGAGGGGGCGCGGTCGTGGCCAGAAAGGAGGAGGAGGAGGAAGAGGAGGAGGAGGAGGAGGAGGAGGAGGAGGAGGAGGAGGAGGAGGAGGAGGAAGGGGAGGAGAAGGAGGAGGAGGAGGAGGAGGAGGAGCAGGAGGAGGAGGAGGAGGAGAGGAGGAGGAGGAGGAGGAGGAGGAGGAGGAGGAGGAGGAGGAGGATTGTCACGGCTGTCGTTTAAGGCACGGGCAATGTTTTACCGCTTCGTTCCCTAACAATAGTGGCATGCTAAACCACCGCATGAGGGGTCAACGCATGAAGGGCCAATGCGCCAATGCCCCAGCATGAGGGGCTCAACGCATGAGGGGCCAATGCCCCAGCATGAGGGGGACAGGGCATGCGGGGCCGAAACCCCAGCATGAGGTGTCAACGCATGAAGGGCCAATGCCCCAGCATGAGGGGTCAAAGCATGGGGGGTCGAAGCCCCGGCATGAGGGGTCAACGCATGAAGGGGCAATGCCCCAGCATGAGGGGGTCAACGCATGAAGGGCCAGCCAAGGCCCCAGCATGAGGGGGTCAGGGCATGAGGGGCCGAAGCCCCGGCATGAGGGGTCAACGCATGAAGGGCCAATGCGCGAGCATGAGGGGGTCAACGCATGAGTGGCCAGCCAAGGCCCCAGCATGGGGGGTCAGGGCATGAGGGGCCGAAGCCCCGGCATGAGGGGTCAACGCATGAAGGGCCAATGCCCCAGCATGAGGGAGTCAACGCATGAGTGGCCAGCCAAGGCCCCAGCATGGGGGGTCAGGGCATGAGGGGCCGAAGCCCTGGCATGAGGGGTCAACGCATGAAGGGCCAATGCCCCAGCATGAGGGGGTCAACGCATGAGTGGCCAGCCAAGGCCCCAGCATGGGGGGTCAGGGCGTGAGGGGTCAGGAGGAGGAGGAGAAGGAGGGGGAGGGAGGAGAAGGAGGAGGAGCAGGAGGAGGAGGAGGGAAAGAGGAGGGGGAGGAGGAGGAGGAGGAGGAGGAGGAGGAGGAGGAGGAGGAGGAGGAGGAGGAGGAGGAGGAGCAGGACGCGGGAGCCACGGGGCGCGCCCTCCTCGAACCCGAAGTGCTGGCAGCCGCGGAAGAACGTCGCCTCGGAGAGCAGGCCGTCCCCGCCCATGGTGTCCTGGGGCCGGGCGGCCCTTGGAAGACGTGGCAAAAGCGCCCCCCCAGGTAACGGTAACGATCGTGCGTGTTGTTAGGTCGGGCATGTCCCCTTACAGGCGGGTTCTGGACGAAAACTAGAACACGTCCAAACAATGCCCAACCCTAGTCAAAACAATACGAAAACACGTCCCCATACTATGATTGACGAAATTCCTCCTGGAGAGGGACATGCCCGACTTGAACGTGGCAGAAGCCCCCCCGTACCGGTAACGATCGCACGTATTGGGGAAGGCTCCTCCTCCTCTTCCTCCTTTTCCTCCTCCCCTTCCTCCTCCTCCTCCTCCTCCTCCTCCTCCTCTCTCCTCTCCTCACTCCTCCTCTTCCTCCTCCCTCCTCCTCCTCCTCCTCCTCCTCCTCCTCCTCTCAACAGCGGGCCCGTGGAGGCCAGGGGAAAACAGCTCAAAACAGCCAGGCGAACAGATGCACCCCGCGGGCCCCGTCCCTGCATTCGGGTGCTCGCGCGACTCCTGTGGCGATCGCAACGCACCCCCCGCGTCGACGTGCCCCCCCCCCCTCGCCACACACCGGCGTTGCTGTGATACCAAGGCCCTAAGCCCCAGCCCCCCTAACCGGCAGTGGACAAATCTTCCTTCACTAAACCACCCTTGAATGGAAGCGGCCTAAGACCGGAACCGACGGACTTGGACCCGCAAAAATGACGGCCGCGACGCCCTCCCGCGAACCGAAAACGGCCAATTCGCGAATCGACGTGTCACCCTCCGGCCTAAGCGCCCGCGCGGCGGCGGACACGTACGCGTCCGCGCCCTCTGCAATCTGGACGCGGTCGGCCCAGCCATGATCGCGCCGTGAACAAAAATCAGGACGGGACATTTTTGGCTATTTTCGACACGGGGGCCCTGGCCCGGCCTCGGGACCGTCAAGAACCGACTCAGGACGAAAAGCCGGTCCCGGGGAAAAGGTCGGGACTTCCAGGGGCGCCGTCTGCGGTCCGGATGTGGTCGGCGTGTTTCGGAAGGGGCCCAGCTGCGCTAGAAGGTAAAATCTCGGAAAGGACGCCCCAAGGCAGACACAAGCCAGATGCTTCGCCTGGCGTCTGTGCAAAACAGGGCGGAGGCGGGCAACTACCGAGGAACTCTCCTCGAGCCTCGGCGAGAAAATTAAAACCAGCATCTGCCAAGCCGGCGCCCTCGGCTAGGCATGTCGAACGGAGAAGGGGGAGGAGGAGGAGGAGGAGGAGGAGGAGGAGGAGGAGGAGGAGGAGGAGGAGGAGGAGGAGGAGGAGGAGTGCAACACCAGCTGAAAAGGGGGGCCAACCAATTCGCATGCACAAGCAAAACTGAACAAGTTTAAACTCGTCCTCCAATTCGTCAGGCACGCACTTCCTCCTATCAAGGACCCGCCGCCCCAGCTCTTCGGCTGAAGCGCGAGAGGAGAAACCAAACAGCGCGAGCCCTCGAACGAGGTCGACTCCTGACACCGAGCACGGGGCAGGGTCCAGAGGGGGGGCCTCATCAAGGCCAAGCTTGGAGACCATGAAGTCTCTAGAAGCATCAGACAGGGCGCTGGCTGACCCTACACGCCCGTCTCGACGGGAAGGGTGCTTCCCACGCAAACTCCAACCCAATTGCCGCTCTCGGCCGGCAGACCTACTGCCCAGGCAATCCGCCGCGAGAGCACTGCGACCCCAGGAACTCCCAGGGCGGCCGACCGACCCGCAAGTCGAGCAAAAAACCAAGGTCCCCAGAGGGGCTCCCGCGAGAGACGAAACTGGGGCCTCAAGGCACACGTGGCCTCGGGCTCTCCAAGGCCTGAGGTTCGCCCAAACCTCCTCGCTCGGCTCTGGCGGAAGCCCGCTGGCTGCTCTCGCGGCGGCCGCCGCCGAGCCCGTGCACCCCTTCCCGGCGACGGACGACACTCCCGCTTCCACAACAGACCCACCCACCCCCTCATCATCATCCTCTTCGAGGGGCGGGCATTCTAGAGTAATGGACCCGAGCCAGGAGGAAGAGGAGGAGGAGGAGGAGGAGGAGGAGGAGGAGGAGGAGGAGGAGGAGGAGGAGGAGGACAAGGACAGGGACATCCGCATAAGTGGGCAAAGTCAGAGCACCTACTCGGGCGATCTACGCGCTATTGCCAAAATCCCCTGCGATTTGTTGTGATACAGCCCTGCTCTCTCACTGGGGTCGGCAGGGGCATGTCCCGTACCTCAAGGACCGAGCTCCGAAGTGGCCCGTAAGAGAGGCTCGCTGCCTTGCATCGCGAGTCCCGTCGGGTCAGTGCGGGGGGAGCAGCTGCTGGCCCTTCCGCGCGGCCTTAGGGGAGGGGGCGCGCGGGCTTAGCAGGGCGCCCGAGCCAAGGACGGCACGACCTCAAAAGGAGGAGAGGGGGAAGGGACGAAAGGCCCGAGACCCCAAACTGTTGCTGGGGGGGGGGCCCTGCCTCTACAGTTTGAGTTCCGTGCTCCCCTCTCCCACTCAGCTCACTTCTCGGTCGTTCCGAGAGATGCTACATGCGTTGTCACAACTGTACTCAAGGTTCCCCCTCGGAGTGTGCGAGGTAGAGCGTACTGGAAGTCACGGTCGTAGGTAGGGCCAATGAAGAGCACACTGGTGGGCATCTTGATGGTCACTTTTTATCCTTCCGCACCCTGCAGTTGTGAACCTGATGGTGCTGTGCCACCCGCTCGGAGGGGGGAATGTAGGTCTTCTCAGAAGCCCTCCGGCCATCTGACAGGCCGTCTGTGGCTTCCGGTAGGGCTCAGGGAACTTCTCAGGAAAGGCTGGAGGCCTTCCGAGCCTTCCGAGAAGGCCCGCCCCCTCTTCCTTCCCCCCGGGGCACGCTGCCGACCTGAGCAAGAAGGGAAGAGCAAGAAGGATAGGCCAGCCCGACCCTGTCCAAGAACGTTTGGGTGGGGCCTCCAAGTCCCCAGACCTCGGAGGTCCGACTTCTTCAGCACGGGACCCCCCACGTCCCGACCCTTTTCCGCAAGGCCCTTTCTTCATCCCGAAGATTCTTTTCGGCCCCCTGGGGGCCTTCGCCTGGCCTCGGGACCGTCAACACAACGATTCAGGACGAAAACCCAATCACGGGGAAAGGGTCGGGACTTCCAGGGACGCCGTCCTGACATCATGGCTCGAAGCAGAAACAGCGCCACAACACACAAACTTTCGGCGCTCCGCGCGGAATTCTCGGATCCGCGCTTTTCGCGTGCAACTAAAAAATATCCGGGAACAGTTGGATGAGCGACGGATTCATCAAGCCAAGTCTCGGTTAAACAAATCAAACAAGGAAAAAACGGGAGAGAGAACATATAAGCAAATAGTTCGTCTTCTGCACTACAAAACGCTGAATGTTCAAAGTGAAAAATCTGAGTCGTTTTTTGGCGGTCCCGAGGCCCCAGCGGGGCCCCCCCGGGGCCGAGAATAGCTAAACACCTCCCGTCCTGTGTTTTTTTTTGACGACGCGATAATGTCTGGGGTGGGCCAGCGAAGGTACACCTGCACAGTGGCTGCTTCATCTCTTCGTGTACCTCCTCCTCGTCCTCCTCCTCCTCCTCCTCGGAGGAGGAGGAGGAGGAGGCGGGGGAGGAGGAGGAGGAGGAGGAGGAGGAGGAGGAGGAGGAGGAGGAGGAGGAGGTCCGAACGGATTTCCCAGGTCGGATCTTGCAACGGCGCGATCCTGTCTTGGACTGGCACCTCCCGCTGGTTGCTGCCGCCCCGCCCCATGCCTGGGCGGAAAAATCGCGCCGCGGGCGCGGGGTGCCTTCGAGCGGCGGCGGCCTCCTCGCCCCCCGGGGGCGGCCAGCCCCCGCGTGCGGCGTGGCCGCGGGCCGAGGAGGGGGAGCAGGAGGAGAAGGAGCAGGAGGAGGAGGAGGGGGAGCAGGGAAAGCGCGAGGAGGAGGAGCAGGAGGAGGAGGAGGAGGAGGATGAGGAGGAGGGGGAGGGACAGACGAGGACCACGACAAAGCCTGAACGCGGAAACGTCGGTGCCGATCTTCGTCACCGTCCGTTTTAAAAGGGCAGGGGATCCCCCCCCGAAAAAAATCACCCCGACACGCAAAGCCGTTCAGTACGCGCACCCACAGAAGAAGTCGAACAGGGCAAGGCTTTTTAGGAAACGCCCAGACCCGTTTAGTAAACGCCAGTTATCGGGTCCTGGTGGTTTTCCTCCCTTGAATCTTGGTCACCGTCGATTCGTGGATCAGTCTCGCGAGTTGGCGACGGCCAGCGTGGGCCATGACCAAGCTCGGCGTCGACAAGATCCTGCGACATCTTGGTCATGGTCAGCGTGTTTCCTCCCTCAAGTTGAGGGCGCTCCATTAGCGGGTCTCGCAGTCCTGGAAACGGGGATCGAGGAGGATGTGTGAGGATCGATGACCGGCGAGGATCGAGGACGATCGAGGAGGAGCTCCAGGGTGGCACGTGGCACTTGAGCCATCCGTGGCTGTCGTGTGCCATCTTTGAGAAACTTTTGGATTTTTTTTATGCGCCCTCTCGGATTGCTGAACACTGAATAAACAAAAAGGACTCCCAGCCCTTTTGGGGGAGGACCTAAGTTAGGAGGGCCAAACACATGAGGGATAAGGGCTGTTCTTCTGCAGATGCTTCGGACCAAACCGCCCAGAATTATTACTATCCCTACTGCAAAGACGGGGACCTCAGTGAGGCACCGTCTTCATCGTGCTATTAGGGTTAAGGGTTAAGGGTTTTTCCTTCTCCAGTAGAAAAAACACCCGCGGCCCCGTCGCCAGCGAGGGCTCCTCGAGGGACTCGAAGCCCAGGCACATCTCTGACGGGCCGCCGAACTCCTTGCCCCGGCGGGTCGCCGCCACCGCCGCCGTCGCCGCCGCTCACGAGGTCGGCCGCTGCCGCCGCTCCCCCGCCCAGAGTCGTCGCCGCAGCCGGCGCCGGCGCCGTCATTGCCGCCGCCGTGGCCGTCGCCGTCGTCGATGCCGCCGCCGCCGCCGTCGCAGTCGTCGACGCCGTCATCGCCGCCGCTGCCGAGCCAGAGAGCATCCCGGCAGTCGGACAGGTCCTCCAAGGGCCAAGAGAGAACGAGAGAGAGAGAGAGAGAGAAAGAGAGAAAGAGAGAGAGGGAGAGAAACCCAGACATGCGACGTCCTGATTTTTTCAGGACGGCGTCCCTGGAAGTCCCGACCCTTTCCTCAGGACCATTTTTTCGTCCTGAGTCTTTTTTTGAGGGTCCCGAGGCCTGGCGAGGGCCCCCTGGGGGCCGAAAATAGCCCAACCCCCCCCGTCCTTTCTTTAAAACAATGCGATCGTGTCTGGAAAGAGAGAGAGAGAGAGAGAGAGAGAGAAAAAAAAAAGAGAGAGAGAGAGAGAGAGGGAGAGAGCGAGAGAACAAAAAAACAGAGAGAGAGAGAGAGAGAGAGAGAGAAAGAGAAAGAGAGCACTGTCCCTGCCCAGTGCGCGCGCCGCCGCCGTGAGGTGGGGGCCGCCGCAGCGCCACTGCCAGGCCTGCCGTTCGCACCGCGGCCGCTGGCCGCCGGCTGGCGGCGCGAGGCCAGGACTGGAGGCCTGGAAATGGACACCAACATCAACACAGGGGGTTGCCTCTACAGGAAGAGGTGATCCTAGATTTTGGTGCTGGTGGAAATATTTCGATCACCTTGGAAGCCAGCATATTACCACCATCACCGAGATCGGGGTCTTCTTCCCTCGGTGGAGGCACACCGCCGATAGTGGTGTTGGTGTCAATGACTAAACCTGCGACAGGAGAGAGACGCAGCCAAGGCCGGCCGACTCCACGCCGCTGTGCCCTGATCTTCGACCATCTGATTTTGGTGGGGGGCGAAAGAAAATCAGGAGGCAACTACTGGGAGGCCTTCGCCAGAAAGATTCAGGAAGATTCAGGCCCATTGGGGGGCTGTTGCGCCGGAGTGGGCCTCATATTAAGCGGGATTAAGCCGGATTAAGCGGGACCAAGCGGCATTACGCCAGATTAAGCGGGATCAAGCTGGATTGTGTAAGCTGGATGTCGGACCAGGGCAAAATCAGAATTTGACCTCCCCAAAGTTGCATCCGAAAGAAGAAGTCCGCAACAAGGGGTCTTCAGTGGGCGCTAAATGGCCCATCCATGGCCAATCCCATCAGCCCTCTGGGCGCAGGGGGTTTACGAGTTCTGTCTTGCCTCTTTTTCCATAGCCCCTCCTTCCCCTGCTCGGGGGAGGGAGGGGTTATCACTGCTCCCGATTCATATACACCCCCTCCCCCAGGCGACCGGCAGCCAACCAGAAACAATGATGACACCCTGATCACCCCCCCACACCATCCCTGTCAAAAGCTATACAAAACGCACTCTGCGTCCACATTCGGAGCCTGCGCATCCCACCCGATGCGGCCCCACCACCATCCCTGTCGAAAAACAATTGAAATTTCAACTTGGGGCGAAGTCCTGAATCATGTTCGCGAGGCCCGCGAGCACTTTGCATGTTTTTGACCTGGACGGCGAGGGTGTCAGCATATTGTCTGCTGTGCGCAGGGCCACCATCCCCATTAAAAACAATACAAATTACACCTCGCGGATAAGTCTGGATCATGCGCAGCCGCCCCGCGACCACTGTGAAATGGCTTTTGACAGGGACGGCGGGGGTGATGGCGTATGGCCTGCTTTGCGCAGGTACACCAGGCACAATGATGGGCATTGGTTCTCGACGAGGATGGTGGGGGCGACATGTTTCCCGATGTGTGCCGTCACGTGCGCAGGCGCACCTGACACACTCTGCACGTTCCCCGAACGTGGCGCTCTGGCGTGGCGGGAGTATGCAGCACACCTGGGGCACGTGGCGCATCTGGTGCACCAGACGTGCCTGGCCCGCTCGGAGGCCTGGCGTCGCGCAGATGGGGTCGGCTTTGGTCCCATCGCCGGGCGTCTGGGTGGACAAGTGCGCCTTGCCCCTGGAGGGCCTGCTCTGCCTGGAACGCGCTCACCTCGTCGGGTGTCTGGGTGCACAAGTGCGCCTTGCCCCTGGAGGGCCTGCTCTGCCTGGAACGAGCGCACATCGTCGGGTGTCTGGGTGCACATGTGCGCCTTGCCCCTGGAGGGCCTGCTCTGCCTGGAACGAGCGCACATCGTCGGGCGTCTGGGTGCACAAGTGCGCCTTGCCCCTGGAGGGCCTGCTCTGCCTGGAACGAGCGCACCTCGTCGGGTGTCTGGGTGCACATGTGCGCCTTGCCCCTGGAGCGCCTGCTCTGCCTGGAACGCGCTCACCTCGTCGGGTGTCTGGGTGCACATGTGCGCCTTGCCCCTGGAGGGCCTGCTCTGCCTGGAACCCAGACCCCCGACGTAATGATTTGTTCATTACGTCGACCCCCAGAGGTCTGGACCCTTTCCCCATGACCGGCTTTGCATCCTGAGTCGTTTTTTGACGCTCCCGAGGCCCGGCGAGGCCCCCCGGAGGCCGAAAATTAGGAAAAACCTCCCGTCGTGATTTTTTCATTACTCGAGGGGGTCTGGGAACGCGCTCACCTCGTCGGGTGTCTGGGTGCACATGTGCGCCTTGCCCCTGTCACTGCTGTGCCCCCCGGCCCCCAGGCCCCAGAGTTGGGGGCGGCGCCCCCTCGGCGTGCTGCGGGGGAAGGGGCCCTCGCCCGGGCGGCCGCGCCGCCTCCTCCTCCTCCACCTCCTCCTCCTCCTCCTCCTCCTCCTCCTCCTCTCCTCCTCCTCCTCCCCCTGCTCCTCCTCCTCCTCCTCCTCCTCCTCCTCCTCCTCCTCCTCCTCCTCCTGTCCGCGTGATCGTCGTCCGGAAACACTAGACCCGAAAGTGTCAACGTATCGGGTGTATCCGACCACCATTCGGTGGACCGCCGCGGCTTCGACCCGGGAGGGGCTCTCAGCGTGCGCGATGCCCGCGGATCGGGTCGAATGTGCTGCACGTGAGCGAACGGCACCACCTACATGTTAGAGGCCTCCCAGATGGGGTCCGCGCAGCTGGTGTCGGAAGATCGCGCCGCGTCGGCGACCGGTGCATCGGCGACGCCAGTGCGGAACAACTCTGGCTCCACATCGAGCCGCAGCTTCGATGCATCGTCGATGCGGTGGGATCCTCCGAACCCACCTACTCCGACCCCACCTGGGATGGACGGTTTCCCCCGGGGCCGTAGGCGACCCGAGGAGGGAAGGGCGAGGAGGAGGAGGGCGAGGAGAGCGAGGATGAGGAGGAGGAGGAGGAGGAGGAGGAGGAGGAGGAGGAGGGGGAGGAGGAGGAGAAAGGAGGAGGAGGAGGAAGAGGAGGAGGAGTGATGCGGAGGAGGAGGAGGTAAGAGGAGGCAGGAGGAGGAGGATGAGGAGGAGGAGGAGGAGGAGGAGGAGGAAGGGTCGCCTACGCCCTTCGGAGAAACCCTCCAACCTGGGAGGCCTGCACACCTACGGCAGGTTCGTGCTGTGCCGACCCCGGCGTTGGTTCCTGACACCGCGCTGGATCGCTCAACCTTGAACGATCGGCCGTCTCCGCAACGTCCGATCGCTCCACATCGATCGATTCTGGGCCGCCGGCGGCGTTCAACCTTGAACGCCCGCGCTGGGGTCGCCGCTGGTCGACACGACGCAAACCTCTTCCTCTTCCGCCCTCCTCCTCCATGCCTCATCCTCCTCATCATCATCCTCTCTCTGCTCCTCCTCCTCCTCCTCCTCCTCCCCCCTCCTCCTCCTCCTCCTCCTCCTCCTCCTCCTCCTCCTCCTCCTCCTCCTGCCCCGAGGGGGCCCCTCCCGTAGGGGAGGGGTCGGGACCCCAGGGTCCCCCTGGCGCAGGCGGGGAGCGCCGGGCCCGAGGGGCGAAAAGCCCCCGCTCCACGGGGGACGCCGCCAAAGCGCGGCTTCCTTCCCCTGGGGGGGTCGCCTGGCCCCGTGTGCTTCCCCAGGGCGGTGCTAGGTCCCCCCCAGCGCTCGCCGCCCTGGGGCGGGGCCGGCGGCTCGTCCTTGTCGTGTCGCTCGTCCGTCTCGTGTCGTTCGTGTCGCGTCGTTCGTTTCGTCCCCCGTCGTGTCGCGTCGTGTCGTGGTCCCGGGGCCCGAAAAACGCGGCCACCCATGGAGTGGGTGGTGGGTAGGGTTGGCGCGGAGCACGTGCTCCTGCGCCCCCTACCCCGACCAGGGAGCGCGGAGCACGGTCTCCCAGCGCTCCCTGGTCGCGCTTAGGTCGCGCCACGGGGGCACGGCCCCGACCGTGGCGCGGCCTGCGCCGTTTTGCGCCCTCAGACGACTGCCAATCGTCTGTTGAATTTTGGCTTTGCCTCATTGAGTTGGGGTCTGTGGCTGTTGATGTCAAACAAAAAATCCTCCTCCTCCTCCTCCTCCTCCTCCTCCTCCTACTCCTCTCCTCCCCTCCTCCTCCCCCTCCTCCTTGACCCCTTACCTCCTCCTCCTCCCCCTCCTCCTCCTGCTCCTTCTCCTCCTCCTCCTCCTCCTCCTCCTCCTCCTCCTCACCCTCCTCCTCCTCCTCCTCCTCACCCTCCTCCGCCGAGGAGCGAAGGCGAAACCGTTTCAGTGGTCCGCGCGGACTTCATTCGGGGGCGCGCAAGCATGGATTAGCGATCCATGGATTGGGCGCGCGGTCGCCTAATCAATCCATGGATCCGGGGAGGTGCCCTCTCCAAAATGCGGCTGGTGCCGCCTCGCTCGGCGGCGGGAATCCGTGATTTCCCATCGAAGCGGGACCCGTCGCTGATCCACGCCCCCTTGATCCATGTTTGCGATCGCCCGGGACTCAGGATGAAAAACTGGTGCCGAGGAATGGGTCGAGGCCTCTGGCCGACTCCGCGGTGAACAAGACCCGACGTCGGGGGTCTTCGG